AATGAATATTCAACAACTGATATCGAGAGAGTACAAAAGCCCAGTTTTCAAACAAGTTTTGTGTGTCTCTGGCGGGGCGCTGGCCCCCCAGGCCACCCAGCGCTGTTTGCTTTATTATCGCTTGCTTAATAAATTTATCAATTTTTAATTGGAACTGAGTTGTCTAAATTCTTAAACTAACTTATAACATTCTCTACCATGTTACATTTGCCACAAATGTCACCAAACTAGCATTCATAAACAGGGAGACCAAAGACTTGTTGACTAAAATTAAATGGTTTGAATAAGTCAAAATCATCTTCTCTTTGTCTTTAGTAGTATAATCTTTGCTATCTGAGAGACTGAAGTCTGTTTGTTCGTTTTATAATTGTGATGTTAAGTGGGTTTTTTCTTTCAGCTGCCACATACTTCAAATTAACAATTAAAAATGTCAGAATGACAGAGTTTATAGATCTTCACGACAGTTGTTAAGATGTTACTAAATTATCTTTTCCTAGTGAGATTTGGATTCACCCTAAGCAGCCCTGCAGGGAAGGTGGACAGAAAGCTGAAGAGGAGCCTGCAGTGTGCATTTGGACGCCAGAAAGCCAAATGTGTCCTGGGTTTAAACTAAAGAGGTTTAGATTAGACGTTAGGAAGAAATGCTTCACTGTGAGGGTGGTGAGACACCGCCACAGGTTGCCCGGAGAAGCTGTGGATGCTCCATCCCTGACGTGTTCAAGGCCAGGTTGAACGGGGCTCTGAACAACCTGGTCTAGTGAAAGATGCCCCTGCCCGGGGCAGGGCAGTTGGAACGAAATGATCCCCGGTTCCCGACCAAAACCATGCTTTTTAATATTCCGCTCCAGAGACGCGGCTGCTTCACAGCGCTCCCCTAAGAGCGGCTGTCCAGCCGCGTCCCTCAGGGCAGACTTAGGCGGGGAGCGGACCCTCGACCAAAGGGTGAGCAGCGGGGCCGCGGCGCCCCCAACGTGCCCGGGGTGTCCGCACTGCAGCGTATCGCTGCAGTGCGGACACCCCGGGCACGTCCCGGGGCGCCGCGGCCCCGCCGCTCCCTCAGCACTGCCCGCCAACCACTCCATGGCGGGGCCGGGGCCGGGGCCGGGGCCGGGGCCGCCACCGCCCTCACCGCGCAACGACCTCTGCGCATGCGCAACTGAAGTGCTGCGCTCCTCGCCTTCTGCCCTCCCCTCCACCGGACCGTTCCCTTCGCGCTGCCGCCCCCTCCTTCCCCCCCAAACATCTCCGCTCTGTCCCCCCACATATCATCGCGCTGTCCCCCCACAGGCATCCCCCTCCGCCGCTGCTCTCCCAAGGGCACCGCCAGTGACCGGGACCTGGCGGGGGAGTCCGCGCTCCGGGCCGATTACCCGCGTCACATGGTCGAGGTCGCGCCGGCGCTCTGCTCGGAGCCGCCTGCCCGCGGCGGTGCCTGACAGGGCTGGTGCCGAGCGGCCGCCCGGAGGGTGCTCCCCGGCGGGCGCCCGCAGTCCCCCCGCTTCTCCCCAGCCCTCAGACGCGGAGCCGCGGGGGCGGCGGTGTCCGCCGAGGTGCGGTGGGAACGCGGCTCTGCCCCGCTCGCGCAGGCAGCTCTGCAGGCAGCCCAGCCTGGCCTGGCGGCGGCAGGGCCACGGCGTGACCTCGGCGCGGCGCGGGCGGGAGCGGCGGGCGGGGGATTTATGTGCCGGGCGCGGGGCCGGGCGGGGCCGGCGCGGGCTCGGGCACCGCCACCGGCACCATGGTGAGTGCGGGCAGCGGGCCGGGGGCGGCGGGGAGCGGGGCCGGGCGGGGAGCGGCTCCAGGCGGAGTGCAAGGCCGCGCTGCTGGAGGGCCCGGCCCGGCCCGGCTGTGGGAGCGGCGAGGCCGCCGCGTGGGACCGTCGGTCTCCTGATGAGCTCTCGGTGAGGGAATGGCCGCGCTGGGTGTGCCTCGCCGGCACCTTTGCTCTGCCCGGAGGTTCCGTTTGGGTTTTTTCCGTCCATTCCTGCTTTTCCGCGCAGAAGGAGAGTGAGGCACTGCGGTCTGGCCTCTGTGGCAGGATTGGGGTGTCTGACCGTAAATACGCGGAGCCCTCGTCGCCCTCCTCAGCTCCCCGAACGGAGATGTGTTTAGGGCGGCGCCGATCTCTCCTGCTGTGCCAGCAGTGAGGGAGCCAGAGAGAATGGCCTCGAGCTGAGACAGGGGAGCTTCAGATTAGGTTAAATTTTCACTGTCAGGGTAGTCGGGCATTGGAATAGGCTGCTCCGGGAGGTGGTGGAGTCACCATCCCGGGAGGTGTCAGTAGATGTCTGGATCTGGCGCTGGGTGATGTGGTTCAGTGGTTTATGGGTTGCATTGGCAGTGCTGGGCTGACGTTGGACTTGATGATTTCAAAGGTCTCTTCCAGCCGTGACGATTCCGCGATTCTGATTGTTTGCTCACGTCTTCTGTAAACTCCCTATAAATAGGGTGTGTAAGTGGTCTTGGATATATGTAGAAACCTCTGATGTTCGTTAATGCCAGATCCTTTTCGGTGCTCTGGGCCTTGTCGCAGTGTGTGCAGTGGCAGCACGGCATTGTCACTCAATCCTAGAGTGGTTTGAGTTGGAAGGGACCTAAAGAAAAAAGAATCCCGCTTTAAGTTGCTTTTCACAATAGGTGTTTCAGCACAGCCAGAACTTATTGCTCTGAACATAATGCACAATAAATGACCTTGTAACATGGTAGGGGAAGAACAAAGTTTGATTGATGTAATTGTTAATGGTGTAAACTTGTTGGATGTACGTCGCTTAAACAGAGGAGTCTAAGTAACAAATATCAAAGTATATAAAGATGTATCACAATAAAGATGCTGAATTCTGTATTTGGGTCTTGGTTACTGTTGAAAACACTGGAGTTGATGAGCTCAGCTTTTAGTGTACGTATAGATAAAAAGAGCAAGGATGCATGGGTGCAGGTATAAAAACGTATTTTGTATGTGCCGTTGCACATATAATAAAGAGTATATTTTATGTATTTTATATCTATTATATTATTCTTTTCTTCCATGTGGCTATATGACCCTAAGTTTCAGTGTCATTTTAAGTATGGCAAAAGTGTCCGTTTGTTGAAACAGATTCTTAAGAAATGCACTTTACCATTGCATTTTTAATAAAACTGCCTTTTAACTGTTCTCATACTTTCAGATTTAATCACATGATTCTACTAAAGCTCTTTTTAATAGTGTATATTATGAAAAGTATTTATGAAAGGCTTATGAAAGGAACTGTATTTCTTCTCCTTATGAAGTGTTTTTCTTTTTTTCTTTTTCTAGAGGTTAGAATATTTAATCAAAAGGTCATGAAATACTCATTTGTAGGATTCCGTGGGTGCTGTGTCCAGTATCCATACTGGAAGCTACTTTTGGAAAATTGTGAGGTTTTCCTCTCAGTGCAGGTCCTTGATTAAATAAATTCAGTGGTTGCTTGTGCTGCCTGATGAGGTTGAAAAATCAGGTCCAGTTTTCTGTGCTGGTTGCTGGCAGTGTGGACAAATAATCTTTGTGTGTGATTCCATGACGTCAGCAAAGTGAAAAGGTAGTTGTCTACTTTTACAGTGTTTGGAAGCTGCATTCTCCAGTTCCAAAGCAACAGGAGAATGAAACGTTCATCAGTTTCTTTTGCACCAGGAGGCTTATAAGTCAAGTCTTAAAATCAAGATCTGCCAAGCTGGGACTGCCAAGACTCATCTATGCAGCTGCAGTGCCAGTTAGGTCATGACTTGAAACTCTGCACAAGTGTCTTAATACTGTGCAAGGCCCCAGTGTTTTAGACTCTTCAGCAGAGGCATCAAAGACTTTTCACTTTTTATGCTTGGAATTATTCCTTTAATGGCAGAGCCTGCTCTTTAAAAACCAAATGTTCTAGAGAGTGGGAGCTTCCATAGTTCCTACTTGTGGTAGTTGGGGAAGTATTGGGTAAACTAGATTTTTAAAACCTTTGAATATTAATAGTGGAGTATATCCTTGTTTTGTTCCTGTGTAGTAGATCAGTTCTCTGAACTAGTTTTACTTGTAATCTAATAATACATTGCATATATATTGGTGTTCTGTACAACAAATATTCTTTAATGGTTTCCTCAGTAATAAAGATAAATCTGTGTTTTTATAAATGCCCTTGTTCCGGCCATGGAATTTCTGTAGCAATAACCTGATTTGCCTAATGATCACTAGTTCTGTAATCTTTGTGCTTAGAGAGCCTCAACAGAAAAAGACAAAAGACTCTTAGGTAAAATGCAAGTTTATTGGCTGTCTTTTGAATCTGTGGAAAGACACTGATCAGGAGAGAAGTGGCCCTGGGGTAGGAAAGACCTGTGCAGGTGAGTGGTTGGGCCTTGAACTCCTTGTCTATTCATCATGCCACTTTGTGCATCATTTGTTCATCTCTGCTGTCTTGTAAACAGTGGTAGGTGCATGGAAATTCTGATTCAGGGAAAACTTGGTCGTGAGAAAAGATGAAAAGTAAAAATCTGAACTTTGAAGAGGTCTCTTGGCATAGGTATCTCTCCCAAGATTAGCTTTATGAATGTCTGATTTTTACAAATAGTAAGATTTGAACTGCCTCACATTGCTGACTATCATTCTGACTACAGGTCTTTTGTGAAAGTGGTCTTTTTCACAGGAAACATTCATTTTAAAATGCTGCACAGCAAGCTCAATTTTCTTTGGCCATCCCATATAATATTTTCTAAGAAACAATTCTGAATTGCATTTATGTTTCAGAAGAACACTGTCTTGGTTTTGCAAGCTACAGCTGGCGCACGGACTTACGCATACAGAGAAAAATTTGCATGTGGGGGGAAATTGACATGTGGAAAAGTGTCATTTTAATAGCAAAAGCAATAATGTATCAGCTATTAAATGGCATTTTGAAAAGTTTAGCTTTCAGGCTCCACAAATACCGTTGCATATTTGGAACTGCAGGAGATAAGAGTATTTGTTATATTCTCCTAGGGATCTTGCTGGTCACTACTAATACAATACCTTTTCCATTTTTTACTTGGAAATTCACAGTCTTGTTAGCATATTTGCATGCTGCCATTGAAAGAGATTTATGCCTTGAATTAAAATTTGTAGAATACTCCAGTACAGTTGTGTAAAAATCTTCGTTTTACAAGACTTGCCACTTCAGAAAGAAAGCAGCTGGCATTATATTTCTGAAGGTGAAATTGTAGACTGGGTTCTACCAGCTGTTTTTTCAGGCATTCAGTTGTATCCCTGCTGCAGTCCTGGTGCACACAGCAGTTGGCTTCAGCTCAAGATGCTTGTGCAGTGGAGGAGGTGGTTGTTGTCAGAGAACAGGTAGCTTCAAAGTCCTGTGTAAAGCAAGGTGTTTGAATTATTTGTAATATATACACATGTGGTAAGGAAAAGAAAGATGGAAAAAGCCTGGTACTACAGGTGAGGAGGAATAACCTTTGGGAAGGTCAAAATGAGGAGACTTGATTGGTGTCTTTGCATAAAACAGTCAGCCTTGGCTATCTTTATGCTTCATGTTCCTTGTAAGTTAATTAATGATGAAAAGAAAAATGTCCTTCAGGCAGAAGTACTTTTAAATTTGTTGGTTTTTCTTTTTTTCGTCACTCTGAGATAGATGTTGGTGTTTTATAAGTACACTTAACCAGTAGATAAGAGTTTTGTAACTTTATCTTAATTGCTTATTCTTAGTTTTTGTTCTCCTCACTATCAGCAACTGTGTCACCGGGTATGTAGTATAAGACTGAAAAGTTTAGGTTGTACTTCATTCAACCTTGTGTTGTTCGCTTTTGGAGCTGTCATCTTTTTTTTCCTCAATTTTAAGAAATATGGCCAGCTTTCCTTTAATGTAACTGCTAATACTACTCTTGTGGACCCCTTATGTGTTCTCTGTTATGATGTAAAGCTTTCATGTGAAATATGCTGTGTTAGGCAAGCAAAGGTCAGACAGCCATACTTATTAAAGGATCTGGAAGAGAGCACACTGACTTGTGAGACTTCTGAGACATCTCTAACCAAAGACCTTCTGGGACAGAAACACAGCTGGGCAGCAATTTATTTGACAGGGTTTCTGCGTGGCTGTACTATTTCAGTCTTCGTTTTGGCCAGGAAGTTTCTTTCTAGCTTCTGTTTTGCAGAGAAACTGACTTACCGTGTTACATAGTCCTCCTTTCTTTGGTCCCAATGCTTCCTGGCATTAGAGATTGACAGAAATGTCTCTGGCTGGCAGAATACTGAATACCTCTCTCTCTAGCATCTTGAACTTGGATTTCAAATTCCACGCTGCAAAGTTGAGGCATGATAGGGACATAGATGTATGTGGAATCAATGTGCTGAAGGTCTTAAATGGGTTCACTTAACATGACTTTCCACAAACTGTTCTATATCTGCAGACACTTTATTTAGTCTGTGCAGCAGTTCCTCATCTCTTAAGAGGTGAGTTTTGGTCAGCCTGGTCAGTGATTGTGTGCTTAATTTCCTTATCACAGGTCAGGTTTTGTTCACTGGAAGCCCTCAAAACCCCCATATGATGTGGGCTTTGCCCCTGTGCATCTTCTCTTTCAAATGTGTATCATACTTTATTTTTCATACTCATGATTTTTAAAGTTGTGGATTTATGACTAAAATCTAAACTCTATGTCCTCTAATTTAGAGTGTAAGAGTAGAGGATGTATGATATTGATGGGAACCAACACCCAGTTTTCATTCATGTTCCTGAAATGAGTGGTTTAAAATTTAAACTGGTATTAGTGGTAAAGCGAAGACTTGGAATTACGTGGGAGACTGGATCTAGGCAGAGCCTGAAGTGAACCCTGTATTTTGGGGGAGGGGGGAAAGACGTGTTCTAGTGTTGTAATATGGGGTAGTTTGGGATGTTGTACATATTTCTGGTGTGTGTTAATAAAACATACAAGCAGAGTGTAACCACATCCAGGCAAAAGGGTAGAGTTGGCAAAAAGTTGTGCTGTGCACATAGCATGTTGAGTGACCATATCACCTACTGTATTCCTGTGCCATGGCACATTGGCAGATTGCAGGAAGATTAATGCAGTGGATTTTTTTTTTTTAATTTCTTGTCACATCTCTATTAATGTATTACTTGTGGTTGTTTACTTACCTTCAGGAATCAAGTGAAAAAGCCTTTATCAAGTGACCACATATATCCATTTTTTTAATAGTAGGAAAGTAAGTGTAGGAAAGTACGAGAAAGATATTTCCACCACAAAGTTAGATTTTGTGATATTGTTGGGATTTGGTTATTTCTTTTTTTTTTTTTTTCACGTGGCTTAAAACTTGCTAGGTTGTTTTCATTTGTATGCTGAAATGTTTGCAGGTATTTCCATTTTTAACAAATGCAGCAATAACCTCTATGGGAATTAGCACTGTGAATTTCTGCTAGAAGGGGATAGAGAGTATGCAGAGAGATATTCCGTTCCTTAAGACAAATTGTTTCTAATGGATTCTGTTACAACTTGCAGTCTTCACTTGAGTAAGGAAACAAGTTTCTGTTGGCGAACTTTTAAGTAGTCTGTTGATTTGTAAGTATTTTAGCTCAGCTAGTGGTCCTGCTGCCCTGTATAAAAATAACTGCCTTGATTTGTATCTTTTCCCTCCTGTTGTCTTGAGTTGAAAAGGCGTTTTCTTTCCCTTACTGATGGGAACCTCTAGGAGTAATTGAAGAGACACACTGGCACCTGATTAGGCTCCTAATAAAAACTGTATTCTAGAGTGATATTAATGTAACTTGACCCTGAGAGACTGAATTCTGAGAATCACGGCTTAGTGGGCAGGCGAGATAAAGGGACAGTGGTTTCTCTCTTACGTTGGGTGGCAGTGGTCAGGCTTAGTGTGAGGTGGTCAAAATAAATACTTGATTTTTAAAATGCGTGGTTTGTTTTGTACATGAATTAGAGAGTATATACTTCCTTAGAAAGTTAGTAATTTAAAAATCAAATATATTAAGCAGGCAGCTTGTTTTAGCAACACTTCTTTCACTGGAAGTACATTTCTGTTAGCCAGGGAATTGGTTTGAATAATCTGTGCGTGGAACTATGCATAATCCTTAATAAAGGTAGAGTGGTCAAAGTAATACCTGCAGCTGTCACTCTTGATCTTGATCCCTGATCTCAGTGACAAAGAGCATAAACAAAAGTGAGGTCTTAATTTTTGACATATCTCAGGGAATTGATGGCACCAATGTGTAGGAGCAGTAGAAATTCCAAGGAGGGAGGAGGCAAAGAGAGGCTTGAGCACTAAAGAAATTTAATGGTATTTGAACCCCTCCAAAGGTGTTACTTCACAGTATAAAAAAGTAACAAGTATTTCTGAGTTTGGCACCTTGTTATGAGACGTGTGGTAATATTTTGAAGGTGTTTACAAATACTGCAAGATAATTTAGGCTATCTTAATCTCTCTCAATCATATTAAATTAAGGATGATACTGTACATCATGCAAAAACATTTTATCTGCGCAGTATTGACACAATTTCTGATTTATTTAAGGGGAAAAAAAAAGAAAAAGAAATAGCATTGAAGGAAGATAAGAACTTTCCTTAGTGCAGTATTTAAGACCAAAGAAGGTATTGTTGGTAGGGAAGGGGAAGAGTTGTAGGTTAACAGCTTGTTGCGTAGCAGATGTGGATAACAGGGACTTGGCTTGTATGACCATGGGACCCCCTCTGAGGTGCAAGGACTGCTGGGGAAGGACAGCATCCTCCTGACCAAGTGGAGCAAAAGTATCTTTGCCAACAGTCTGGCCAAAGTGGTATGGACAGCTTTAGACTAGGACTGAGAGAGGAAGGAGATAATGACTCACAAATCAAGAGGAAAAACTGTTGGACTGAGATAGTAAGCAAAGGATGCAAAGTAATGTTGAGAGGTGTCCTTGAAAACAACTAGTTAGGGGAGAAAGGAACTCACACATGTAGGTAAAGGCAAATAGGAAATATCTGTGTATACAATGAGGCCAGCATTATGAGAGAGAAGCTCTTAGACCTCTTCAGGGAAATGAGCACATTTGAGTTCATCTCTGACCTGCCAGTACACTAATGCATGCAGCATGGGGAAAAATGGGAAAGTATGGGGCTGTATGAAGTTGCAGAGCTAGGATTTCATTTGGATAACAAAGATGTTATGGAATAGGCAGTACAATTCCACCATGGATGGATGCAGGCCCTTCTGTGGGGATGGGCTGGGAAACAGAGGAGTTGGACTTACTCTCTACTGAAAGAACAGTGGGAATGCATGGAAGTCTGCCATGGGGTTAAAAAAAAATTGTGAAAACCAGCAACCAGCAGTCAGAATTAAAGCTTACTGAGTGACTGGGAGTGAGATGGCTGCTGACACTACTGATGTGCCAAATGCTTTTCAGGAGTTAGATGTTGAAGTGAAGCTGTACTGATTCCTGTGTACCCTTCCTTCCCCACATGTGCCTGGAATTCAGTGTGGGGCAAATGCTCTACACTAATCAAAGACTGAAATTTCACAACATGGATGTTGTTAATTGTGAAGTTACTGTTGATTCCAGGGGGTTTGTGATGTCAGCTGTTACACTGTGTCAGAGCTGAAGAGATCACAAATCCCAAATTTATAATCAGGGATGTAGGTTTAAGGCATAAAGTCTTGTGAAATTCCCTGTGTATGAATGGCCTTTCAGTATGTGGAGCAGGGGACATATATGACTGCCATTGTGGCCTGGGAATGCATTTTCCCTTTGATGAAGCATGTAGTTGATTGTAGCAAGTTTCAGGGGATTTTTTATTTTTTTTGGAAAACTGCTATTGTATCCTGCTCCTTGTTCCTCTACAGTTTAAAACTAAACAAAAAATTAACCTATCATAATGCTTTTTACTTTTTTTTTTAAAGATTCTTTATGACTTTTCCAAAATACATCCTGACTTATTATTAACTTATTTCTCTACAGGGTGTGATAGGTGTACAGCTGGTGGTTACCATGGTAATGGCTAGTGTCATACAGAAGATCATACCTCACTATTCTCTTGCTCGTTGGCTTCTCTGTAGTGGCAGGTAAGATAAGAAACAGTTGCTATACAATGTGTGACTATGGCAATGCAGTTATGTATTACAGTAGTAACAGTAATTGAAAAGTAATCGACTGCTGTTCTTAAATTTATTACTGCAGCATTCTGACACCTGTTTTGCAGGCTCAAGGTAAAAAGACAGTGTTGCTGTAAAAGAACAGAATTGTTTGTTGCTACTGATGGTATCAGTCATGAAGTTAATTGTTCTTCAGCTCTTATATTAAAGGTACAAGGTACATCCTTTAATATTAAGCTAAACTGAATACAAGACACTGAAGAATGGAAGGATTTCTTTTCCTCTGCACTTCATCTGTGGTGTTGTTAATCCACCTCCTGATTAGCTTTTCATATAAACAGTGCTTAGGTATTTATTAAAAATTATATTTTTTTAATACGTCAAAGGACAGGTTTAGTATAAATTCAATATACTACTTCCTTGTATCAACAGATCAAACAGACATAGTGAGTTGCAAGGGGAGCATACCCTGTGTGTCTCTATCCATAATAACAATGAAAAACAACAGCTCTTTTGAATATAAATCAGTATGCTAAATATTAAAAGGAATCATAGACACTGTTTTTTTCATTTGGTAAGAAAAATAATTAGTATGATTAGAGGGTAGGGTGCTGTCTTTTGTAACTTAAAATTTTGAGAATATCAACAGTATTCAAGGAGTATCCCTTGAATAGTAATGTACTCCATAAGAGTATTAATGAGTCTTGTATAATTTTCCATTGCCTTTTTTTTCTTCTGCATCTCATAATTACTAGCTTATTTCTTTTTAATTTTCCACATTTCATCACCCAACAAGCTGCTAATGAGAAATGACTGCAAATATTGGTTAGATGTGTGTTAGGTATAACAGAAAACAGTAATTGTCAGATGAATACTACAAGCAGAAATCATACTCTTAATGAAGTTTCGTTGTTGACCACATCTGCGGGGTGTTGATCACCTTTTTTGTACCCTAAAAAGAGTATTAGGTTAATGAATATGAAACTGCCTACCATTGTTTTAAAGTGTGTTATCACTAGACTGTTTTTTATCACCAAAGGGCTTATTATACTTTTTATGTCCTATTTAAACTTTTATTTCAAAATTTAAATATCTAATTGCTCTTTTAAAAGAATTGCTCAATATTATGCCTGTATTCTTCATTCTTTCGAAGTTTTTGCTCTCTATGCTTGCTCTAAGGCGTGTACCAATGATAGGGAGAGGTTTGCTGTTCAAATATTTTTTCCTAATCCTTTTCTCCATTTATCTTTGCACATCTGCAGATTGATAAATACATGAAGCAAGATTTCAGCATTTGTGCTTAGGTAATTCTGCTTCTACTGAAGCCAGTAGGAGTCCTGTTATTGCCTTTACTATGATAGTAACCTGGAAACCTCATTCTTGCTTTTCAGTGTTCTTTTATTTATCTGGTAACTTATTTTAGTGCGTTGTAATTTCAGGCACTGTGAATAATCCCCTGAATACAGGAATTGTATGAAGGGTCAGAAATAATTCTGTGTTCCAGAAATAAACACAAGTTAGAAGCTTCGTGGCAACAAGAATCTGAATTGTAATGGCAGAAAGAAAAACAGTTATTTTCCCGGTTTAGCTGAGAAACTACTTATTGTGTTTAATATTTTTTTCTTTAGTTTTGTCTTTTTGTCAGTGGTATTTGCTTTGACAGACCTGTGCGGGTGGGGTGGTAGGGCATTTTATACACAAAAATATACAGGTACAAGTAGGCACACTCCTAAGCAATCCAGCTGTTCTAGGAAAAGTTACCACCTGCTCCTCCTTTCCTTTGTCAGTAGACTCCAACTCATCACCACCAACTGTGGTTTTTAAGTAACTTGAACTAAATGTCTTGCTTCCAAAGGGTTGGCAAGCTTTCCTAACCAAGATAAGTGGAAATGTCCGTAGATAGTCCTTGCCAAATGGGAGGGAGTATAAACGTGTTATCAGACAAGATGGAAGCACTTAAGTGACCAGTTGATTTCGAGATGCTGTATGTGTACAAGCAAAGTCCATTAAAAGGAAGCACAGACATTTCAAAATTTAAAGGAGTTGTTAGAATAGACATAAGATATTTACATCATTGACTGTCAAAGGGCTATTTACTTAAATTTGTAAAGAAACTCAAACTTTCTCAATCCATTCTATTTTCAGAGCTTGAATGGAATTTAAATATCATATTTATTGGAAGAATTCACAGCCTAAATATCTGCATATGCCTTTGCATTTTTAACTAATAAAACTTTCTCTGCCAGAATGTTGCTTTTTAAGTTGTTCAGCTGTTTTAGTTGTTCTGTTATCATGCCACTTCAGGAAGACAGGAGAAAGTGGATGTTTTGTTGTGCATTTGTTAACGATCTTCATTCAGATTAACTGCAGCATATCTGTGTGGCCGTTGCTATTCAAACTGACTTGGATATGTCAAAGCCACAGTTGTGGGATTTCAGTTTTAAGAATATATAAGCTAAAACAGATACAAACTATTTTTTTATTATCTTGCTCTTTATGAAGATATTCAGATGTCCTGGTTTTAGGATTTTAAATGCGAGGTGTGTAGGGTTTATGAACTGAAAAATCCCCAGACTCTACTGTAATTAGGTATTACTTGCAACATAATATTCTGTATTATAATTAAGAGAAAATTGTAATTTAAGTATTTGATTTCTGTTAGCATACTACACAGAACAAGAATTTTGTCTGTTCTGCCGCATTAGGTACTATTTCTCTGTGCGGGAAAGATTTTGAAAAAAATTCTTTACAGCATAGGTGACTTTCATCATTACAGAACTACTTATGGTAATGTCAGCATGCCAGATTCAGATCTAGGAGATTGTGAGTGACAAGGCAGAAGAATGTTTCTCTGCTTACTCATACTTTCTTTGGGTCATGTGAAAGACAAGAAGAAGTCAGCATCTCCAGTGTAATTTCTCTTCTTGGATGAAAAGGTGGTTTCTCTAGTTTCTGTGTGTCTCAGTCTTAACCAAGTGCCTTTTGCAACAAAGTTTGCAAACCTCATATTTTTCAACTGGGACCACACATGATGAAAATAAATTAATGAAAAAACTTTCAAGCTTATGGTGAAAAAAAAATATCCTGAACAAAATTCAGCTCCTCTTTTCTCCCCCAAAACTCTCTGTTTGTGCAAAGTCTGTAATATTTGCCATTTTCAGCTTTGGAACTGGCAGTGAATTCCTTCAAGGGAAATTTGCAGTGTTTGTTTTATTGACTGGTATTGGAGCTGTTTTCTCTTGAAAGGATCCCAAGCCGAAGGAAGCCTTTCCTAAACAGAGCTGGGAGTCAAATGTTATCAAGTGGCTTGAGGTTGTTTGGGTTTTGATGCTTACTTTCCAAATTTGCCTTACTATCTCATTGAACTTGGATGTGACATCAGCTCTAATTCACCAACATAGATTTGAATGGTCCTACTGGGTGAGGTTACTTAATGTGAGAAGATGGTTGTGGATTCCATTATCACCTCTAACTATTACCAGTGTTAACCCATGTCCCTGTGGGTGACAATTAGTGTCCTCCTACTTCCACATACATTTCTCAAGTCTGTTTCTATTAATATTTGGTCTCCTTTGCCTCAGCATTTGAGAGTGCAGATCAGAGTGACATCCTTCCTGCATGTGGACAATAACCTTCCCTTGTTGAATGTGGAGAAGACCTTGTTTACTAAGGTTTTTGATGTACTTAGAGATTTAAGTAAAATATATACCATCTTAACACTTAACCATCTCTATGTTTCTTCTTCAGAATTTCCTTGCCACTTCTTGCCTTTTAAATGAATGAGCAGTGGATGATATATTGATTTGTGAAAGGGGAAAAACTTGTAGGTCAACTGCATGTAAATTAGTGATTATTTTTAATAGGACTTTTTCTAATAGGCTTTGAAGAGAGCAATGAGGAGGCTTTTAGGAAAGGAGTGTTGATGTTATGATCTGCTCTGCTTAAGAAAAAGACTGGTAACGGTTATTAGATAATAGCTACTTCAGATTCTGAAAACATGCTGGGTTTTTGAGGATATAATTATATTTTCTAAAATTGTTTAGAGTATGGTTCTGATGGGTAATTTTAATGGTATAGTTATTCTAGAGAACCTTTTCTCCTTGTACGAACCCTGTATTTGGTGATATCTTTAAAATCTGGTGTTTTGAGAACTGAAGGGCTTTCATATGAATGACAAAGTGTCAAAGCTTTCTAGTCATGAATAAACATCTCACGCTGAAGAGAACTGAAATTTACTTGTGGTTCAGTTCAGCCAAGATTGGTACTGGCACAGAAGGGTGTCCCGCTTAGGAGTAGTAAATGACTGGTGTCTTAATATGCATATAGATCTGCATCAAGATACAGTTTTTTAAAAGCCCCACTCTAAATTGCAAATACAAGTATTGTTATGTTTAAAATTTTCTTTTTCTTCAGTTTACGGTGGTATCAACATCCCACCGAAGAAGAACTACGAATTCTTGCAGGGAAGCAAAGAGGGAAGAGCAAAAAAGACAGGTAAATATTTGTTTGAAGCTTTTCTTCCCCTCTTTTCTGTTTTTTTTTCAGCATGTTCATATAACAACTTTGCCAGCCAACTTTTGTCTTTGTGTAAGTTAAAAACTGCTAGTTGCATATGACTACCCTGCTTGCGTGAATTGTCTCAGTTCTGTACCAAAATATGTTCTTTCAGTTTAACAGAGGATTGAACGTTGCTAAGTGTGGAACTGGTTAATTTCTAGTTCACAAAATGATCTGCAAAGCTGCTAATTTGATGGCAAAGCTTTTTTTTTTAGTGGATGTATTCATTTAGATAGAAATTGAGGAAAGCAAATCTTAGAATTGAACCTCTTCTGTTGAATCAAGAGAAGAAAAATTTAAGTATATTAGTTCAACGTATAATTATTAGGATCTGCCGTGCTTACACAGCTGTGAAGAAGGTAAATGTAATACATCCTAGGATGTATTACATGAGGTGAACAGAGCAGCTAGGATCATCCAGGAAACAGAAAGTGGGGGAGACTAAAAGAGCTGGGCTGGTTTAACCAGTCAAAAAGACAACTGAGGAGGTGGAATAGCTGTCTGTCAGCTTAAGCTAGAAGCAGCTTTCTGGTGTTCAGACATGAAGTTCTGAAGAGAAGAACATGTACTTCTGAACAAAAGTACAGCTGCATCAAGATCCAAGACATCTTGAGGTGATGGAGCTGGCCATGTTGATGTGATATTTCTGAAATGGCTAAGTTTAAAACAAGCAACACCCTCTGGCTTTCTTTTGGCAACACAGGAGGTTTCCTTTAGTCCTGTTTCTTCTATCCCAGTATGAACTCTCTTATAAATAAATCTTAAGACTTGAATTAATTTAGAGATTTCTCATATAATCTCTTAATGGTAATGTGATTTTTATCCATGTTTCCTTAGCTCTTTACATCGAAAGAGCTGGTTGGGAACATTATTTGCTTCTGTGATCTACAGAATCACAGAATCATTTAGGTTAGAAAAGACCTCTGAAGTCACCAAGTGCAACCTTTGACTGATGCCCACCTTGTAAACTAGACCATGGTACTGTAATATCCAGTCATTTCTTGAACACCTCCAGGGATGGTTAGCCCACTGCCTCGCTGGTCAATCCATTCCAATTCCATAAAGAAATTCCTCTTGATGTCCATCCTTAACCTCCCCTGGTTCAGCTTTTTTATTTGTCCTGTCACTGGTTATCTGGGAGAAGACTAACCCCCACCTGGCTACAGCCTGCTTTCAGGTAGTTGAAGAAAGCAATAAGGTCACCCCTGAGCCTGTTTTTCCTCGAGGCAAACAACCTCATTTCCCTCAGCTTCTCCTCATCCAGATCCTTCCCCAGCTCTGTTGCCTGTCTCTGGATTCACTCCAGCACCTCAGTGTCTTCCCTGAACTGAAGGACCCAAAACTGGACACAGTACTCAATGTGTGGCCTCAGTGGTGCTGAATACAGGAGACAATCACTGCCCTGGTCCATCTGGCCACACTATTGATGATACAAGGGCAGGATGCCCTTGGCCTTAGTCAACCTAAGCACACACTGACTCGTGTTCATCTCTTCTGTCAACCAGCACCCCCAGATCTTTTTCCACCGGGCCACTTTCCAGCCACTCTTCCCCCAGCCCGTAGCACTGGGTTGTTGTGACCCAAGTGCAGGACTCAGCATGTGGCCTTGTTAAACTCATACTTTTGACCCAAACTCCATTGATCCAACCTGTCCAAATCCCTCTGCATAACCTTCCTGCCCTCCAGTGGTGAACACTTCCACCCAACTTGGTGTCGTCTTCAAACTGACTGAGAGTGTACTCAATCGATAAGGATATTGAACAGGACTGGCCCCAACACTGATCACTGGGGGACACCATTAGTGTGTGCTTTGCTTTTTTAACAGCTGAATAATATGGTTATTTTTTAGTGAATAAATGTACCTCTGTGTCCTCTAAAGATGTGACTGTTCTTGGGGAAGAACTATAGTTAAGCAGGAATTGTTCCTGTTGATCAGTTGGATGTACTGATTTAGGTTGCACAGAACAGAATGCACATCTCCTTGTGAGTCATCTCAACAAGATAAGAAACAGATGGTGTGGAGAAATAAAGATGCATCTACTTAATACTCCCCATATCTTTTCAAGATGAAGAATCTGCTTTGTCCAGCCCATAGTCTTCTCCTTAATTAAATACTTTCCCAGTCTGAACTAATTAAAAGAGAAATGATGAAAGGAGATAGAAGGAACTTGCTTGAAAATGACCCTTAGAAACAACTGTAGTGTGAACTTTTAGTCCATTTTATTCAGTGCATATTACGCTTCAGTATATTCTGCTGTAAGTTATAATAGCACCTGCATATTAGGCAGATTTTCTACTTCAGAATAATTTGTGTTACATTAAATTGCTAGGCTAATGAAAAGGTCCATAGCTAGTATCAGTTACTTTGAATTAAAGCTTCCATCCAGTGATCCCAGGTATGGTCGCTTGGATTGTGGGTCCCCTGGGATAATTAAAGTGTAGGAACACCAAATTTTGTTGAACTGAGATAGCTACAGTCATCAAAATGCTGATCTCACTCAAGATAATGGTACTCCTGGGTGTATGCAGTAGGAAAATAATCAGGAGTACAGCTGTGGGCACGGAACAGAATTTTTTGAGTAATGCCTTAGATTCCTATCCACAGTTTGTCAGTTAAAATTCTTATGCTTTGGATGATATTAAGAATTAATATAACTTGAAAAAATTCTATTAGTGCTTTTTACATGTATTCTCATTTCACATATGAGCTGAGATTGATTGAGTTTCTTTTTAATGCTTATGTCCCAATAACTTTCTATGTCTTTCTATGTAAAATCTGACTCTCCTTTTCTAATTTCAGAGGTGGTATTCTAAAATGTGGCAGAGTTTACTGTTTCCTTCTAGCCATTTAGAGGTTTTAAGTTTTGGGGTTGATTTTTTTAATCTAACAAAACATTTTCTGATCTGCTTTAATGATTTCTTTTTTAACAGTGATGAGATGAATTTAACCTTAGTAAAATTCTGTCAGAATTTTACTGTCAGACCAGATCTGTCAGACCAATTTCATCTGACTTTGTTAATTTTCTCTTAAGAATACTGCTTTTTTTCAATTTGAAGTCTACTAGTGTGACTTATTTTCAGGGAAGTGAAGATCATGATGTTGGCAGAGTTTCAGAGCTCTAGATGAAAAGCAGTCTTTGTACATTTTTTAGATTAGAAAGCTATCTTGAAGTTGTCTTTGCCTGATGGCTGGTAGGATGAATCTTTCAAGGACCTAGGTTAATCCAGATCATGTGATGTACTTGCTAAGCACCCTGTTGTGACAAGAGGGGCTAATACTTTTTTTGTGATTTTTTTTTTTCCTATGGGAACACCGTGTAGCTCTCTGAACAGAGAATATCAATGGGCTGAAGTAAATACTGGCCACTGGATCTTGACCCAATACTTGCTCAAGGTGCAGCATATAGAGGCCACTTAAACCCATACCGGAGCAGTATGTCAAAGTCTGTTAAGATAAAGCTAGGAACCATCAACATACCTGGTTGCTTCTCAAGATTTCAACTTGAAATACTACTTTAAGCCAGATACATAAAAATATTTGCATTTGGGGAAAAAAACAGTGGTCTGCATTTTTCTTAAATTTGAAATGTGATTATATATTGAAAAAGTTTATTTTGTCATACCTGTGTTTCTATCTACTAATTTCTTTATTTTAACAGAAAATATAATGGTCATATTGAAAACAAGCCCTTAACCATTCCAAAAGATATTGATCTTCATCTGGAAACAAAATCTGTGACAGAAAGGGACACTATTGGTAAGAATAACTCTGTGCAAACAGTAATGTTTCAGATATATCCTTATTGTTTATTTGCAATGAATGCTGGAATATCTCCTTTATAGACAGTTAATGAATAGAAGTAAAACTGATCATAAATGAGAAAGCAAATATTCAGGCTAAGTCTCCTTTCATGTTCCATGGGTGCCGTTTTAATAGCAATGCTGTGGAAAAGGTTGAATATAAAGGTCTTAAGCTCTCTCGGGGAGGTTTAGGTTGGACATCAGGGAGAAATTTTTTGCAGGCAGTAATCAGACATTGGAATGGCTGCCCAAGGAGGTGGTGGATTCACCGTCCCTGGAGGCTTTTAAGATGAGACTGGATGTGGCACTGAGTGCCATGGTCTAATAACCACAGCAGTGTTGGATCAAGGGTTGGACTTGATGATCTCAGAGGTCTTTTCCAACCTGGTAGATTCTGTGATTCTATGATAAAGCACAGCTATTGGATCAGACTTCCGTAGCAATGTGAGACAACACCAAAAGAATCACTTCATAGACTATTCAAAATAGAGTTTGTAGCTTTGTACAAGAAAATAAGAATTGGCAGATGTGAAAACATATAGTTTCTGCTTATCTAAAAAATCTGTGGTTGACCTTTCAGCCATGTACTGGAAACATTAAGATGAAATGCTTAAAAACGTGAAGTGGCGCAAGTACAGAAATATGCAGCATTAAGTGTTTTGGAAGTTGCTGTTTTTTAAATGGTGATTTTTGATTCCTTAATCATAATCAGTCATTCTGTGACAGAAAATTCATATATAGATATGTATGTAAGTGTGATACATATTTTCTTCCTGTCTACATTTTTTCATGAATGTGTTCTCTGGATAAATGTAGAAAGAATGCAAGCATAGTCCTATGCAGGAGACTTCTCGACTTAATTTATAGGACACAGTGTTTCTTTACACTGTAGAGTTTTTTGAAGCTAATACATAAATAAACAAAGCATTCCCAAGTTTCAATCAGTGTTATTTCTTTGAAACTGTAGCATTTAATTGTCTGCCTGAGTGATACAAGATAGAGTTTTACTGTCTTTAAAAAGTTATATATACAGTTATATATACAGTTTTTTCTGGTGAATCTAACCAGATTGTTATTTTGAAATAAGAATAGGACTTGCAAATACCCAATTTTGGCCAATTTCATGTGCTTGCCAACATTTGGCTTGTAGTCAAGTCAAATGTCCAGTAATGGTTTTTTGACCTTCAGATTGTGAAGGTGTAGGAAAGGTGTTTGTGTGGGACAGGCCACACTTTGTTGTCAAAAATTGTTCTCTGCGGTTTCCAGCACCTCTGGGAGTTCTCTCTTCAGGTCATCCAGCCTGTATGCAACACAGTACAATCCCCAGAATTTTTACAGTGAAATTTGTACAATGACTGTTGCTGTACAGGATGTATTAACTAAATCTGGAAGAGCAGATTAGTATCTTAGATGTTGGGATTTTTAAAATAAAATGATCATGTGTAGTATGATTAATTAAATGTAATATAATTAATTAAATGATTGCCAGAGAGCTTTAACGGAAAGTCAGAAAAAACTCTTAACTGGAATTGCAGCTAGACTCAGCTGAAGAACTGAACTGGTTTTTTTCTGTAGTGTGAAATCTGCATTATGTATGCCTTTTCAGTTTAGGATGTTAATGTGTAAAACTGAGGTGGTAAAATAGTAAAATCTTGTAGCCATATAAATGTGAGTAGTAATCAAGTATCAAATGACAGAAGTGAAGAGTGAAGTTTACGTTGTTGAGGAAGAATATGTGGCTTTTTCACTGTTGTTGCACTTCACTTGATTGATCTGGGTCTACCTAGACATCATTTAGTTGAAAACCTTTTTTAATTGTTACTCCATTGTATATATGTTAAAACATACCTTTAGCAATCACAAATTTTTATTTTTCAGCACTGCATTATTTTCCGGAATATCAGTGGTTGGTGGATTTCACTGTTGCAGCTACAGTTGTGTATATGGTGACAGAAGCCTATTACAGCATTGTGAAGCCCTCACAGGAAATGAATATCAGTGTAGTGTGGTGTCTACTTGTCTTGGCTTTTGCGGTGTATCCTTTTCTGTTTTCTTGAATCACTCTACAAGTTCCAAATAGTTTACATAATTGTGTAATTCATATAAATCTCTGTGTTGCTAATGGGAAGGATACACAAATATTTAGCGTTTGGGAATCATGTAAGCTAGTACTATTGTTGGATAATGTATATGCTGCACATGCTCATTGTAAATGCTGGTATCAATAGCTTGTTAACATTAATACCAAATAATTTATGGGAAAAATATATGTGTGCTCATCTGTAGTATCCAGTGATTCTAAACGGTTTTGCTCAGTTTGGCAATCACAAATAGACTTCTGTACAGAAAGTACAGCTTTTGGAGAAATTTGGAAGTGTATGTCACACTTTTTGCGTTCAGTATGTTTAATACTTCCTGAACAAAAAAACCCTACTTGCTTCATTTTGCAAATCTCAGGAATAGCCAATTTAAGTAACACTACAATTAATTGCAATTCTAGGTGAAACAGAGTTGTAAATTTTATATTGTAGGAAAATCCACTGCAATAGCACTTTCCTAATGTGGTTTTAAATACAGTCCTACCACTGCTTTCACTTTTTCATCAATTCAGGGCAAAAAAAACTTTAAAAAGATTTAAGCTGCTTGTCACTGTAAGTTTTCTGTTTCAACAGGGTGAATGGGCAAGTAGCTATTAAGAGTCTGTATGGTTTCTGGGCTGATGGGATGAAGTAGCATGATCCTGTGCAGTGTGGCAATGCAGAAGGCTGCAGTACCAGGAAGCACAGTCTCAATTTTATATTAACATTAACATCTCCGTAAGTATGTCAACATAACTTATTCCAGGCATTACCGCTTTCTGAGTGAAGGAGAGTGATGCAAAGAGTGATATGCAGAGGCATTGGGAACAATGTGGTCACTGGAACCTAGTCAGACTAGATTTCAGAAGAAAAACGGTTTATTCACATGTTGTGACATCAGGCCTCTGGGATGCTGAGAATACTTAAAACTTACTCAACTAATTACTAATTTGGTATGTCAAGACCAGGATGATTCTATGATAATTGAGATGCTAGAGAAATTTGGTTACCTCCATATTTTTGATTGACGTCAGTCAATGTGATATGTCAAAAATTAAATATAGAACAGTGTTGTGTTTTGTTGACAAGTGTTTCTTCTGTTTTGTGGTTGTATGGTAAGAGATGATAGGTTGTAATAAGGATTTGTATGACTAAATGACCAAAAAAGTTTAGAGAATTTGGAAATGATGATTAGGCATTTTTCAGCTGTGTCTTCTAGAAGTGGGTGTTTTGATTCAGTTCAGTGACCCACTCTTAGCAATTTTTAATGTTCATAGTGTAGATAATCAGAAAAGTCCAAGAAGCTAATCTTGTCTATACATCTATGTATTAGCAGATATTTAGTCTAAAAGCAGTAGTATTTGTGTTCCTGGTTATGTAGATAAGACAGTTCCAGGATAGGGATCTCTCTTACCTGTAGAGGAACAGAAAAATAAATCTTTAAATGGGTAGCTAGTTTCAGGAAGACTAAAGGATGTTTCTTGAAGACACCATTTAGAAGACCTGCTGTACCAGCTACTCAATTTGTAATATTTTTGAAAGCTGCAGTATATTGTGTTGTATTATCAGGGTGTTTTTTTTTTTTTTCATCTCTCACTGTTTCATCACACACTTAGTTTCCAGTGCCTGAAATGGAGTAACAGAAGAATTAGCAAAACAAAGATTTTAAGGGATTTTTTTAAGACAGGTTACTGTCATGGCCTTCTGATTGTGAATTTTGGCTTAAACATTACTTTTGCAATGTTACTGAGAACTCATTTGGGTGTAGACCATAACATTTGAGTTACAATTTTTTAAAATTATTCCTTAGGTACAGTTTACTGCAGATAGTACCTCTTCACAGATTGATTTCTCTTATTCTGAAATTTGAAAAGCTGAGTGTTGTCAGAACAAATATTAAGAATTAGCAAACTGAGTTACTGATCACAGTTTTCACTGTAGCAGTTGCAGCCAGATTACTAGCAAAGGACTGCGTTTGTGAAATAACAAAATGCTTACCAGATGAGATAGTCACCTCACAAACAGGGACAGAGACAAGACAGAGGTGTTAAATGCATTCTTTGCCTGTCATCAACACCAGTGATGGACTAAGTGTGTCCCAGTGCCTGAGCTGAAGAACCATGGCTGTGAGGATGATAAACTCCCAGCTGACTCTAAACCTGTGCTGGATTTGCAGGGCTCCATCTTACACCCAGTTCTCTTAAACATCTTCCTAAACAATGTGGACACGGGACTTGAAGGAATGCAAAGTAAGCTGGCAGATGTTACAAAATCAGGAGTTGTTGACTCCCTGCAAGGCAGGCAGTCCTTTCAGAAAGACCTTGAGAAATTCATTGCATGGGCAATCACAAGCCGTATGAAGTTTAAAAAGGGCAAGTGCTCTTCTCTCTGGTGACCAGTGATGGGACCAAAGGAAATGGCATGAAACTGAGTCAGGGGAGGTTTAGGTTAGATATCAGGAAATGGTTTCTTACCCAGAGGGTGGTCGGGCACTGGAACAGGCTCCCCAGGTAAGTGATCACAGCACCAAGCTTATCTGAGTTCAAGAAGTGTTGGGAGAATGCTCTCAGGCACATGGTGTGGTTCCTGGGGTGTCCTGTGCAGGGCCAGGAGTTGGACTTTTGATGATCGTTGTAGGTCTCTTCCAACTCAGAATATTGTGTGATTCTGTGAATTGACAGATTTCATGTGTTTTAGTAGGAACAGAAAATGGATCTTTTTCTCTTCAACCATGTGGACTGTATAATTCAAAAATTACATAATTACAGCAGTTTAAAAAATAAAATTATTTTTGTAAAGGGATGTACCATAAATTCTACAAGCATATCACTTCTTGTGGCCGAAATAAAATAAATGAAAGTGGGGGATGAGGAACCTATTAACATAGCACTGAATACTCCCAAATTATTCCTTCAGTAGATCCTGAATGGTAGATCAGGCAGTGAAAGGAAGCGATGAAGCAAGCCATAATACTTCAATTTTCTCTAACCCTAAAATAGGAGCAGTGGTGATTATTCAACTAACAGAAGGTTTCAGTCACGTGTAGTTTGCATAATCATTAATCTATTTATTGAGTTCTGAATCTGTACTATAATTGGAGTTTATTGTCAGTATTCTTTCTTTTTCCTGGTTGAATTTTCCATATCCTTCAGGCACAATCCATAGCTGAAAACATGATGTATCTAGGGGGTTATAAATCTGATTATAGGTTAGGACTATAGATCACAAACTGTTATTAAGTCCTTTATGTAACTTCAAGGTATATTCAGTTTATGATTGATGTCCCTAGCAGTAAAAAGACATTTGGTTTAAGATGTATTATTAGAGAAATAAAGCTTTCCAGAACACAGTCTGTATGACCTATTATGTACCTCTTTTTGGGATGAGGTAAGTCTTCCTTCAGATATATAAATTCTTTCTGTAAAGTCTGAAGAGATCTTAAGTTGATTACTATGAGCTTAGAGTTGTTAGAGGCTGTGCTTAGGCCCCTTTCCTGTGTGCATTTGAAAACCTCTTTGCATACACATGAAATGCAGCAATGCGTATGTAAAATATGTGCTGCCTGATGAAGTGTGGTATTGCATAATCATATTTTCTTGACAGATTAACTGTTAACTGTTTAAATGTTTTACTGAATACATACCCTAAAAGATGTTTTCATATATTCTACATCTTAAAATTCTCCAGTATTAAAAAAATGCAAATATAAATGTTACTGTGTTATGGGGAAAAAAAGGTGCACATTTTACATTTAAAATCTAGGTTTTTTGTGTTCTCTTTGCCTTTTCAAAGCAGGTAGTGCCTGGAATGATCTCCAAATACTTTATTTAAATATGCACTGGATATTGCCTGTCATTTGAAAATAAAATAAATTATGATGGACTGCAGTTCGCAGTAATCAGGACTGACAGTGTATCATGAAAAATTTGTCGTAGTCTGTTTAACTTTAGAGCTAATTATATTTAGAGATGTGTAAAAGAGGAGAATACACAAAAAATATTTTTAAAACATACTGTTAAGAGAGGTGGTGTTGTCTTAAATGATTATCTTTGTGGCACTGGGGTTAGATAAAAGCACTTGATATATCAGTCCAGTCTGTAGAGGGTTTTTAAGGTTGATTTTGTGTTTCAAAGGTGAGCATTTTTCTTTTCTAGATAGTACTGAATGTGCTGTTGTCTTACTGTCTGATAGCTGTCAAAAGATGCCAAACATGCACAGATCAGGTGCTTAGGGACATGGTTTAATGATGAACTTGGGGTGTTAGGTTAATAGTTGGACTGAGTGATCTAAGAGGTGTTTTCCAATCAAAGTAATTCTATATGTCTGAAAGGAGAGAAATACAAGTTCCATCTTCTCATGTTTTTTATATTTTCTTATTCTAAGTAAGCCTAGATCAAAACTGTTCCAGAGTAGTGTATTCCTGGCTACCCATTAGGTGATTATTATGCTTTATTGTGTTCTCTAATTTAACCTGAAATTCGCTGAACACATATTACTTTAAAAAAAAAAAAAGGCACATCATAGAACAGCCCTAGAGTAGACCAAAATGCAACTTTATAATTCTTAGTTATTTTAGTTGTTACAAGTTATTATAGTTATTACAAGTTGTTATTATATACAAATGATTATGTAGTTCCATTATAAACTTCATTTTCCTTGACCTTTTTCTTGTGTAGTAAGGTACTGTTTTCATTGACTACCCATTATTTCAAAGTTGAGGATGGAGGTGAAAGATCAGTCTGTGTCACTTTTGGTTTTTTCTTCTTTGTGAAAGCAATGGCGATTCTCATTGTGACAGAAAACTACCTAGAGTTTGGACTGGAATCAGGTAACTCCTTTTTTAGTGTTTGAGGCAGCTCTAGTGATTGCATGATCTGAAAAAAAATATTTCCAGCGTTTCGTTGAATATTTGTGTTAAAATGAATGGTATATGTCATACATTTCTAAAAAATTTTGGTTTGGAATGCAGATTTTAAAGACAATTCTGAATAGTTTCCTTGTTTTCTTTTAAATAGTGTAATCTTTGCCTAGTTATTTGTTTTGTTGATTATATTTGCCTTCCAGTTTTACATTTAACCCTTTTTGACTTCCATTGCAAAGGGAAGCTCCTTTACTGGAACAGACCAAAAAAATGTTACATTTTTTCATCTTCTTGAAATGAACAAGTATTAGAGATGTTGATAATCAAGTTTTATTGTATTACGGCTAACTAATTAGTACCTGAAAAGCTATGCTAGATATGTGAAAAATTTTTTGAAAGATGACCTTTTACGTAGCATTTTATTTCCAAAAAGGAAATAAAATTATTCTGCATTTGTACTGTAATAAAATAAATATAATATATGTGTCTCTGCAGGTTTCTCAAATTTCTCTGAAAGTGCTATGCAGTTTCTTGAAAAACAAGGTTTGGAATCCCAGTAAGTTTCTGGAAATACATTTATCTGTTTTATATAGGCATTTATAACTGAATCACTTGGATTTTCTTAACAAGCATTTGACTTGCATGTTTTGCTCTTGTACATGGTTATAATATCTACAATAATGGGAAGAAGTGGCTTAATGAAAAGAATCTGTCAGTACCCACAAGTAACTGAAGTTGCGTTAGTGTTTTCCTTTTAATACAGAGGTAGTTTCTGACATTGTGTTTGTAGCTCATAAGATTCAAAACTGTAAATGATTTTTCATAGTCTTTCTCTTCAGCTTTGCAAGGATTGTTAAAAATAGGTGGTAGGTGTTTTTTGCCATTCCTATGGCACTCAAGAGGATGAGTGTGCAAAAGCTACATATGGAGTTTGAGGAAATAGGCATTAGGAATTAATTTTGCTGTTCAGTCCTGGTTTTGGGTTGTAGTAGCGTGCTCCTATCATGCAAAAACATCTGCTTACTACAGGACCTCAAAGTTTTGTACAGACTGTTGGAGGAACATGCCATAGCTTTGTGATGTTACATAAATACACAATCACTGTCTCAGACGGGCTTTGTATATTGAAAAATGGATTTCTGTCACAGTTGTTTCCATATACATGTGCTCTAAAATTTATGGGACATTTCATCACTGGGAGCACAACTTTGAATTTCTTACTTGGTAGGTGTCAGGTATCATGCAGAAGCCATGGGATATCTTTATTTTTGAAGAACAGAAGTTTCCTCAACTTATATTAGCATCATTTATGAATAAACTCATGGGAAATCCATAATGGAATCCCATGTGTTTCTTAGCGTTTCTTTATTCTGCTTTCCTAAGCTATTGCAGGTTCACTAACTTCTGTATTAATTTTCCTTTTCAGTGTTTGTTTAGTTTTAAACTTTTGCAGTGCTTTGACTGTTTATAGTAGCAATGGAGTGGATGATGGTGTCTCTTGGTAGTTTACGTGACATAGATTAAGAAAGAATTTGAAACACATGATCTGATTTTGTTCCTCTTTAATCTGTTAGTTACATGTCACTTTTTTTTGTGTGTGTGTGTTGTTGTTGTTGTTGTTTGGGGGGGTGCTTGTTTGGTTTTTTTTATTTGTGTGATCCAGTGTTTGTTAATTTTGTAATTAATTCTGTAATTTGGTTGATCCTGAAAATATTTTCTGTAATTTTTTTATATACTGTATTAATCACTTGGAAGAGACATGTAAATGGGCACATGTATGTTTTGGATAAATTTGTGAAAAGCTGCAGGAATAACAGTTTGATAGAGCTTGTTAATGAATAATGGTAGAATGAAGTATCCATGTTTTCTTTGACCAGTTTAGCTGGTATCTGTTCTTCTCTTAAAAACGTACTCCTTAAAATCATTCTATTAGCTATTCCTGTTATATGATTTGTTGTTACTTACAATATAAAATTACTCTTTTCTGCTAACAAATTAACATCTTATGGGCAGTAGCTTAGGTTTTCTGTTTTACTAGGAAACAAATAGGTGACTTGGTTGGGTTTTGAAATGAATTTTTTTTTTTATTTGAGCTTCTGATTGGTTTGTAATAATGCTGGTATTCCAGAGTAAGACTATAGAATACTGTTGGCTTTTTTATTAAATGTTAGATACTGTTGAGTTGAAAGTAGTCTCTGATACCCCCATCCCCCAAATTCCTCCCCAAGAAAATGCTTATTTCCTTTCTTTTCTTTTAGGGGTCCTGTGTCTAAACTAACCTTCAAATTGTTCCTGGCTGTTCTGTGTTCACTTATTGGTGCTTTTTTGACATTCCCTGGCTTGCGACTGGCTCAAATGCATCTGGATGCTCTGAATTTAGCAACAGAAAAAATAACACAGTAAGAGAAAATATATGCAAATAGATATATGCTACTCAGTCTTAAATCTTTTATATCTGAAAATAAACAAAGCAAACTATTCCAACGAGAAGGTAGTGACTAAGACTTCTGTTGCTGCGTGCTTTTCATATCTTGAGCAGACTTGCCACCTGCCTCTTTCTGCTCAACCTGTGCTCTGCCAGTCTGTTACAGTCTTTGCCTTGTAATCGGAGCCCAATTAAAGGAGCTTTTCTTTCCTCCTGCAAGAGCTCCACCATGAGTGTCTCTATGTTCAGCTTTCATTCCCCCATAATTTCCTTCAGGAAGTAGAAGTGCAACCACAGACTTTTTTTTCCACCCCTACCTCCAGGTGGACATTGTGCCTTTAATCAGTCTAGTGTAGGATACAGTGCAAAAATGACCCAGAATATTTAATAGAGGTCAGATGTTAATATCAGTTTAAATGAATATTTTCATTTTCAGTCATTCTTGAGTTTAGTGGTAGAGTGTTTTCTCCATTTTCACTATTTCTCTTCAGCGTTCTCTGGCTGAGGGTGAAACTCCAAATGTCTTTCACAGATCTTGATGTTTTATACATGATAATGGCAGATTCTGCAACATTGGCCATTGTGGCTACTTAGTCTGGTCAGTTTCCTAAGAGAACCATTATGTTTTCTGATAGGAAAATTATTTTTGTTCAGACTGCATTTTTGTTCTTTACCATCAGAAATTCCCAGCTTAAAATTAATCTGTTTGATGTGGGTCCTTTGCACTTGGTAAATTCATAAGCAAGTACACTGTGTTATACTGGCACTCTGTGTAGTTGTCCAGCTACAGCTGCAAGCTATTGGCTTGTTGTATGTGCTGTTAAATTTCTCTCTGTGTGTAGAGTGTGACTTGAGTCACTTCCTAATCTGTTCTTTTCACCTAGACAAAGTTCTTAGTTTTCAGTTTTTATGATTCTCAGTATTTTAAAATTTCTTATGCCTTTTCTAAAGTGTTCTTTAGTTTTCTAACATCTTCCTTGATCTATGGACATTACATCCTAGGCAGAAATGTAAACTCTCTGAAACAAAAGTCCATTAATCAATACCTAAAAGGCCAATTAATATTCACTAAAAAGTGGTTATGAAAAAGTAAACCTCCCTAGTCTCATGTTTAGAGGATATTTGAACTGATTGTTAAAGCTAACTTTGTGCAACACAAAGCTAATTATTTTCAGAAGTCTACCAATACTTTGACTATTCAACTGGAAAAATGTAAAAATTATGATTAGTGGATTCAAACTTGGTCAGATATCAATATAATTAGGTAATGAAATTATAAACAAAGAATCATTGTCAAGTGATAGGTTCTAATAGGCCTGGAGATCATTACTTGCCCCTAGTGATATGTTTCTCTCAGTGAGTACATCATTTATTGACTGTAGTTTTTTGACAGTGACTAAAGGGGTACTGTGAATGAGAATGACACATGTCACAAATACGAAGCTCTCTAATGTGGTTGCAGGAAAACCATTTATCTGTGAATAAAATGTGTAGACTACTTAAAAAAGCAACCAAGCAAACAAAAGCAAAACAAAACCAACAAAAAACTAATCTCAAAAACAAACCAAAAAGCTAAACGAGTTCCTAAAACTGTCCAAAAAACCCACTAGCTACCAATGTCCCCCAAAATCCAACCAAAAACCCACAAAACTAAACAACCCAAAAATGCCCAACACAAAATCCTATTTCTTTACCAAATGAAACACCTAACTTACAGGGAATATTGACCAAATGAAACCCAAAAACTTCAAGGTTAATGATCAAATACCACTTCGCTAATATGTACAAAATTGTTAATGTGATTCTTTTAGGTGTATAGGGAGTAAGTTTGTTGTTTTAGGTAAACAGAATAAAAATCATCTGATGTCCCTTTTGGTTTTAATAGCTCTTTGATTTCCTTTTTCTCCCCTTTAGCAGCAGTATTCTTTCCTGCATTTATTTGAAGTCTTCTTAACCAACTTGTATCATTTTTGTATATGTTCCTTTGTATACATTCCTCTTTTACCAGAGTCTACTTCAGAAGTTGGCCTTTCTGTCTGTACTTGAAAAAAACCCCACAACCAAAACAAAAAACCCCACAAACCAAAAAAGAACAAAAACCCAAACAAACAAAAAATCCCCAACAAAAACCCAAACCCAAAACAAACAAAAAAAATCCAAAGAGGTGATTTTAACCACTCTTTGTCACATTCCAGTCCATTAACTCAGTAGGATCTCTTAAATAAGTAGAAGTTCAGGTAAAAGGCTTCCACAGTTTAATGAAATGCTTAGGACAGTTCTTTGATGAGGTCTTGTTCTCTAGCAACACTAAATAGCTATCAGGGCTTGTTTCTTCATCTAAAATCAATGATTTAAATGTGTATGGTAACATCTTCTGAAACTTGCAAACATTTTAATGGTTTTAGGAAGCTGATATTTTTCAGTCAGTGAGGTCTTGTCTTCTTTAGAACAACTTTTGATTACATTGTTTTTTTCTAGAGTGTAGAAGCACTGTGGTGGAGGTGGAAGTATAGACAACTATTAGTGAGGAGGCATTGCACTAACAAAACCACAAGATCTCTCCAATTGTTTTAATTTATTTTAAGTGATGAAAAACGATTGGGATATGGCATTTATAAATGAAGAAGGATATTAATTTCAGGAAAAACTCCAGAAAACTGTATCCCCTCTTAAAATTTTGCTGTTTTGTACTCAAAGATCACAAAAGAGTACTACTTTTATTTCAACTGTACAGTTTCATACAATACTTTTAAGAGGAAAAAACTGTGCTGGCTTTTTTGGCTTTTTTCTTTGGTCAGAGTATCTTTAATTGAATGTAAGTACTAAGTTTTATTTAGTCAGGATTCCTAAATAAAAATATTCATTAAACTGAGAAACCTGACCTGTAAGAACTGTTTCTCCTGGTCCGTATAGGTAATGGAAGATAATCTGAGAAAGTTTTTAATAAAGCAAAAAACAGTAATATAGCAGCATATTCCCCATTATTATCTGAGATGCTGAGTTTCTAAATTAAAACTGTAATAGCTGTTGCAGTTTGGTGTTAGGCCATCATATAAAAATTTTCAACAACTGTCTTTTACTACATTGTGGCATAGTGTGTGGAACTCCTTTGGTTGGATTGTTTGCGATAAATATTCCAAGAGCACTTTTAAAAAGCCAGACCTGGTGTGATTTCACAATATGTGGTATTACTGTTTTGTTGAAATGTAAGTCATGCCTATAAAATAGGGAAGCAATTTTCTTATTTGTCTTTCTCTTTAATTTTAAAATTAAGATCTCTCCTTTTGAATCCATACGTCCTGTTCAACAGTATGGTGATTATTTTTGTTTAATAACTTCCTCTTTTTTTTTCTTCTTTCAGAACATTGCTACACATAAACTTCTTGGCACCTTTATTTATGGTTCTACTGTGGGTAAAACCAATCACTAAGGACTACATTATGAACCCCCCTTTGGGCAAAGAGAGCATTCCTTTGTAAGATTCCCTTTAAAAATTCTTTCTGGGGTATTAAGAACAAAATCACGTCTAAGTAGTGTTCTTTGATAGTCATAGGAACATGAAAGACTTAAAAGATGATAGCATCTGCTGTCTAAGGTATTGTGGAAGGTGCTTGAAGAGCTTCTGTTATTTCAGAAGAACGAGAATTCATTGCAGAATGTTGAATGTTAAGGTAGTGGTTCCCAAATAAGCTGCTGTCTTCTGACATCTGCTTGGCAGTATTGGATTGTTCTTTGTGGGGGTAGAATACCATCTCATTACTACCTCCTGGAACCTTGTATCTTACATATTGATGTGGGAGAGAGCGGTGGTTTCGCAGAAGACAGTTGAGTTCTGTTGGCATGAGAACAGAGCTAGGCAGTTTGTCTTAAGATGTACATGTAGACAAAGTGCATATGGAATTGGTAGCTAAAATATTCAAAACATAAAAGGTGAAAGAATTTTCAAGAAGAGTGGTATCTGAGATTAATATTGCGTAATTAGTATAGGTGATTGTCATTGTCACGATTAGTCTAAATAGTTCAAAATAGTGGTATTCAAATAGACTTGAAGCGAATATGATTGACTGACACATTTCTTGCTTTCTAGAGCTGAGATACACTTCTAAGGTGGTTCTGTTATATAAACCATCACAAATGTACATATTTTGTGCATCTGTTTTGTTCCTTGGTTTATCTTTAAATGAGGGTTGAGCTACCTCAGGTAACTGAAGTACCCACTTACTGTCTAATACTGTGTGTCTGCAAACCTGTATTATCTGCGTGAGCTTGGGTTTTATCATCCTGCCTTCGTTACTCAGAATTTAAGCACTTAAGAACTGTTCTTGTTTACAGATAAATGAATACTAATTTGGATCTAATGCTATAATAGGGTTGCTGAGAAGTAGCAGGAGGGAGAAGCAGAAGCCAAAGTGAATATTCCTTGCAAGTGAACTTCATAACTGTAGATTGTGTGTTAACTATTTTTGACAATTTGCTTCAAGATTTCTTTACAGGTGATGCAAACAAAAAATTGTAGCCTTTAATAAAAGTAGGTGGCCCTTGGAAAAAGTAGGTGGCCTTTGAAAAACAACATCACCCTTTTTTTTTTTTCATCCACAGAATGTCAGAAGATACGTTTGACACTGTCAGGTTGTGGATTATAATCCTGTTGTGCGCTTTACGGTTGGCTATGATGCGCCATCATTTGCAGGCCTACCTGAATTTAGCCCAGAAAAGTGTGGATCAGATGAAAAAGGAAGCTGGCAGAATAAGTATGGTTGATTTACAGAAAATGGTAAGTATGGTTGGCACTAAGGTTACATATTTGGAGTACTCTGACTATGCAAATGTTTTTTTTTCCAGTTGGTTGCACGTTCAGCAGAAAAGCTGAAATCCAGATGAAGCTTCTTAGGCTATATGTCCTATAAAAATAGCACCATTACAGAGAAATTGTGCAAACCAAAATACAGAGAGGTGTATCATCTGTATTATGCACATGGCTTCTCCAGGTTGTTTGGAAGTTGTTGTAAAAGATCCCTTCAGATGTATTGTGATGTGTAACTACAACATGGGAAAGAAAAGGTTGAATTTAGATAGAAGGGTAAAATATTGTTATGAACTATTATTTTAAAGTTGAGGGGAAATTTATGATAAGGAGGTTATATTTTGGAATAAAATCAGAGATGTTTAATTCTGTCAAACCACTCTCAAGTGCACTTTCCTAGTTAAAAAATTGCCCATCTTATTGTGGACAAGGCAAGGTTTTTTAGATTTACTTTTTTTTTTTTTTTTTTTTTAAAGAAAAATTAAAAAGTATGTCATGAACAAATAAAGGAGTAGAACGGTGTTGTGTGTTGCCTACAAAATAAACTTAAATTTCTAGCATTGTATGATCGTGCTGCCTGTTTATCCTACTGAGATAGAGTGTGTTGCAGGAGGAATATTAAAGTATGCCGTAAGACAAAGACTCTCTCCTAGGATTGTCATTGTTACTTTTGGTTATACTAAGTATCTGAAGGTCCTAAGTGGACTGTGCAGTAGTTATTTACAAATAAAATGACTAGAAATTTGCTTCAGAAAAAAAAACTAGAAAATACAAGTAACAGCAACTGATTAGGATAGAACTGTGCCAGTTGCTGTAAATGCTTATTTTTGGGAATCTTAATCCTGTCCAAAAAACAGTAACGTCTTCTTTGTGTAGCACTTCCAAAATCCATTTATCCAGTGTCTTCATATGTTCTCTTTGAGAAGGCCATAGTCACTAGATCTAGTCTTGTCTTAAGTAATCATGTCAGCTTTACCTTTTTTTGAAATTTCTTCCAGTCAATTCTCTTCTATCTGTCATTCTACAGTAATCATTACTTTTAATTTATTTTGTCATCTTCCATCAATTTTCTAACAATATTTTTTGTCTCACACTTTTTCTTCTGTTACTGTTATACTACTTTTTCTTCTCATGTTAGTATTTTGATGCTTGCTCATTATGAAGCCTTTTGAGGTTTTAGAGGCATTTCCAAAAATGTCATGTCTGCCGTCATCATTTTTGCCACCCTGCCTTCTGTTGTTTTCTAAAACCCAATTAGCATTATTTCATTGCTTGCTTGCTATTGATTTTGTTACTTTTCTTCCTTCTTTATTCGGTCTAGTCTTTTAGGTCAATAGTGTATATAAGATATGTAATGTAACAATCTTGAGAAAAATGGAACAGATTGAGAGCAGAGGGAGGGATTTCAATGAGCTATTGTGTATACCTAAAATAAAGACCATTTAAATGCTGTTATTGACCAACTACTAATGAAAAATCATATTGTCATTGTATTTAACATAATGGTTCACAGTTCAAAGTTTTAAAAATATCTTGCTTTTAGAAAGAAACTGCAATATTAATCAAACTTCCATTTACTTTTTACGAGGCTTTGGACTGTGACTACTACTTCATTTTTTAAATAGGATTTAGTTTGTAAATCATTGGGAACTTTAAAAATTAAACATTTAGTTTTGTTTCTGGGGTATTGAAATAGGAATCTTTGATGGTATGCAATTTGCAGAAGCCAAATTAATTCTCTTTGTTTTAACAGAACTGATAATTTTAATTATTTCTTTTCAGCACTTCCTCTCAGATTTGTAAATGTCCTGAAACTAGAGTTCGCTGTAGGGATTTCTTCTTGAGGTCTTTTGAGGACAGTAGATCACATGGCAAGACATGTTAGAAAACGCTTAGAACTGCTTTAATTCAGAAGTACTGGTGTTTTTTTAATAAATTCTTTTTACTAGACATGTTCATAAGGATTTGCTTTGCTCAGCCAGGACTCATGAATTTTACTCTCTTCTGTTTTTCCCAGGTGGCTCGAGTATTCTATTATCTTTGTGTAATTGCACTGCAGTATGTTGCACCATTGGTAATGCTCCTTCACACAACTCTGCTCTTGAAAACACTAGGTAGGCAAAACTGGATCAATAAAAATGTGTTCAGTTTAACAGCTTACTAAAGAGAGTTAGAATATATGGGTAGGACTTGAAATACAGAAACATACTGTAGTTTCTTGCACTTTAAAACATTCATGTGTGGCTTTAAAGCAGTTTTCTTCATTGCTGCTTTTGGTATCTTTCAATTATACACTAATTTCTGAAAAATTGTGTAATACAACTAATTAAGCTTTTTACTTTCACTGAAATATTTATCTTTTAAGAAGTATTCTAAAAGTGAGCTGTATAAAGCATTGTTGATTTAACTTCATGAGCATATCTTAAAGGGTTTTTTTCAGTTTTTTTAGCTTTAGTAGGCTTTTTGAATGGGAATTATAAAATATGGGGTTCACCCTCCCCACCCCTCTTTTTCTTGTGAGAGATGGCTTTCACAGCCTGCCATGCAGTCATGGATTCTTTTTTGCAAAAAGGCGGTAGAAGGAGATAGGCTTTAATAGGCTGTGATTCATTTTGTTCTGAAGTAGCCATCTACATCTGGTGAGATGAATTGTACCCAGGACTGACAGGGGTCCCAAGGCAGCTACATCGCAAGAAGAGGTCAGGATGTGAAAAGGAAAGGTGAATCCTACCCCAGTAGTTTACTTGTATGACCAGGAAACCATGCTGATGAATACAGTTAGTATTTACTAAGTTACAGAAAGTTAACATTTTAATATATGTGTTAAAAATATATCTAAAATGATCTGTTGAGTGATAGAAGTAGTAGAACTTAATTTTATAAAAAACTGTTATTTATTTCTTTTTACAGGTAATTATTCCTGGGGCATCTACCCAGAACTGAATTCTGACACTCCAGTAGAAAACAGTCTTCTTCCCAGTTCTGTTTCTTCTGAGTCTCCACCTGCTGATGGAAAGATGAAAGTAACAGTAGTACAAATAACCATGGCTTTGGGAAGTCTAAAGAATATTTTCACTCCTCTCCTGTTCCGGGGACTCCTGTCTTTCCTCACCTGGTGGATTGCTGCTTGCCTTTTTTCTACAAGCCTTTTTGGGCTTTTCTATCACCAGTACCTGACTGTGGCATGAACAGGTCGACTGATAAATCAAGTGTGAGGTCAAATGCTAGATACAAACCCAGGTACCCAAGAGGAGATGAAGAGAAAAGAAAACTATATATGAAGAGAAAACATATCATAATTGTTTTTAAGCACTTCCTCTGTGTTCTCAGGGTGAATAATCTTAAAATGTTTAAAATCACAACTGGGTTTGTTATTTTTGTTACCCAAATGGTAGGTAACTAATTGAATTATAGTATTGGAACAGACTGACATTATTGTGTGATAGATGGGTGGTAAGCATGCTGAAAAGATGTGACCTCTGAGTATCTTGGTTTCCATAAACTGCAAGCCAGCCTCAAAAATTTGTGTTTTACACATTGAAGTCAGTGACTGAACTGCATTCAAAGGGTACTGGTTATAGTGATGGTGGCTGCCTATCGATTTAAGTCTTGAAACTGAGCCATACTATGAAAGGAGAAAGAGGGGATTTAAAAAAAAATAATTCTGTTGGATAGCTATTGATCACTTTTCTCCATGAAAAATGAAATAATCCAACAGGACAGGAGAGATACTGTATATTACAGTAAGGAAAGTTGTATAAAATTTAAATTTAACAGGAGTAGATGTATGTACCTGACAGGTATTGCTGCCTACATATTTTGCAGGCGTGCTTGTGTAGTAAGAAGAGAGTTATAACAAATATATTATTTCAGTCCCTGCAGTCATTTTGGAGTAATGGCCATCTGTATTGGTGCTAATATTGATCCACAGATTCCATCTGGATCTTTTAAATTTCTTCTTTTGAGGTAGTAGATAAATTCCATTGAATACACAAAATAGTAGAAAATAATTAGTGACAACAATCGAGCCTTTCAAAACAAAACAGTTTAATCCTGCTGACTGAGAGTGTATGTATATGTGTAATGTGCATATAAATATATATTATATATTAAATATATAATATATATGAAGTTATAAAATATGGAATCTTTATTTTAAAATACTGAATGTATCTTACAGGGCCGTGGGAGAGGGATATATGTGTATCTAGTAATTTCAAGATCCCTTTTGAAGTGAAAATTAAATTTTTTTTGGAAGTTCAGTTGAAAGGGCTATTTGTTTTTGGTGCCTCTTCAGAGGTACTCAGCTATACTAAAGAACTTACACTGTCTTGAAAGAAATGATCTGCTTAAACTGTTAATCTTGGAATTTCTGCTCTGTCAGATCATCATCTTTTGCCACTTTAATCTGTGTTAACTTGGCCATATAATAAGAGTTAATAGATCTTGTCTCCAGAAATAGATTTTCTGTATAATAAAACAGCTATATAGTAAGGAGGAGCAAAGCATTAACTTTACAAGTTTTGCTTAAGTAGAGGGATAAATTCCAAGTATAAAACCGTTGACAGTTTTTCAGATGTTTTGTGTAATTGCAAAACAGAAAGGGGATTTATATGCAGTAGCTTTTTTTAAACAGTTAATATTACACTTTGCAGAGGTCAGTGGGTTTTTTAACTAATACTAGCTGTTTTTATGTTACTGTTCTTTTTCTCTTGAATTTGTGTACAGCTTTTGCATATAATAATCATTTATAAATGGAAAAGCTTAACTAAATATTTAATATGTAGCAAACCTACCATATGGGAAAACAAACTCAATGAATGCAGAAAATCAAGAATTTAAGCTGGTGATAAACTATCTTACTGTGTTGAATGCCTTTTAAGTTATTTATTAGTTTATTAAACTGTGTTTAGTGATACTGGGGGAAGATTTGTGTACACCAGCCAATACCTACCGCATGCATTGGGGATGTCTGAGAACACCTTGCATGATGCTACTGGTTTCAGCTCAGTGTAGTATTTCAGTGTGACTGGTGCTGCAAGCTTTGTTGTTTTCACACCAGCTTTTTGTAACTAATGGGGACAAAGGCTTAACTGTGAATTGGCCTAAAGAATAATATTTGACTTTATAGAATCAGATCTTAAAACATTCCTAGGAAGTACCTTTCAGATGAACAGTAGAATTACAGAATATGACAGGTCCAGCAGTGCTGGACTTTCTTATTAGTTCAAGATATATCATTACTAATAGAATTAACCAGGCCAGCTTTGAAGTTAGAATTAGGTGTTCAATGCTAATCCTTTGTTCAGGAAAATAAATCAATGTAAGTGCAGTTTGGTTTGGATAGTGAACTTGGCTGAAGACTCTCACTATGTAGGAGATGTAACCTGTTGTTGCAATCTGAAGGAGTAAATTTTGTATAATGGAGAATACTTCAAAATAATGTTCAACATCAGAGTTTCCGTTGGCATAGTTATTTATTCTGCAAGCTTATAAGCACAAGTGAACTGTAGTTATGTAGTATCGAATTCAGCAAAGGCAACGAGTGGATCATGTAGCTGAGCTTCACAGAGCTTTTGCTGAGAGCTCATGCTGTCTTGCTATTCCGATGTCACACTGATCACAATGAAGAATAGGCACCTGGGTGTTGCTAACATTAAGATCAGTGCTTCTAGCCGTTGCTGTTCCATTGTTCTGCAGAACTGAGTGGCTGACTTTCTGTTCAGCAGTCTGATCTGAGTGGGAGATGGTCTTTCATTGGATCCATTTAATCCTTACATGAATCCAGGAGGTTTATGAAAAACTAAGATAAGCCTTTAAAATGTGAAGTGACAGTGAAACTAGAGGGCCTGTATTGCTAACATTTTGAGCAATTATGAGATATACTTAAAAATGTCTTTTGGGATTGTTACTTTAATAGTCCTGACTTCCATGTATATTATATAAGGTTCAAAGCAGTATCTGCTCACTTTAGTAAGTTCTTTTAAACGAGTAGCTAACAAATTCTTTCTTCTTTTGTTTCATGGAGGTCTTTATCAGCACCTGGGAGTGAAGGGAAAGCATCTTGCAAAAGTGGAAAAACAAGTAAAACATGACTGAAAGCTTGGTAGTTTTTATTCAGGTTTCTTACACATTTTATCTTACTTTTCCCCCTATGCTTAATCACAGAATTCTAGAATGGTTTGGGTTGGAATGGACCTTAAGGATTTTCTTATTCCAACCCCCCTGCCATGGGCAATGGCACCAAACCAGGTCACTCCAAGCCCCATCAAACTTGATCTTGAACACTTTCAGGGATGGGGCATCCACAGTTTCTCCGGGGAACCTGTGCCAGTGCCTCACCACCATCACAGGGAAGAGTTTCTACCTAACACCTAATGTAAATCTCCCCTCTTTTAATTTAAAACCATTCCCCTTGTCCTGTGACACTCTGCCTGTGTAAAAAGTTGTTCTCCCAATTTTTTATAAGCCCAGTTTAGTACTGGAAGGCCACAGTGAGATCTCCCTTAATTTCTGAGAGATTTAAGGCTGAAATGTGCCTTTGGCAAATAATCTATATTTGTTTCTTTCTTCAGTTCAAACCTCCCTCTCTCGATGATGTGACTTGTTAGCTTGACTTCTGTCTCTGATCTACAGTGCTTTCCTGATGTCCCTGCTCAGAACAAACTAGGCTAAATTTAGTTTGGCGTTGTATTTTGACTTCTGTTGTTTTGGTTTAAATTAAGCTATTTTGGAAGGATTAGTTCCTTTAAATAGTTTATATAACTTTGAATTCCAGGTGAAACATGAACGAACTTCTTAACCATTGTTTAAACACTGCACTTTTTTAAAGTAGGTCCCTTTAGACAAAATGTTAAGATAGTGATAAATCCAAGTCTTCCAGTAAGCTCAGGGAGGTCCCAGATCTAACACTTGGGCTATTTCTGAGCTAAAAGAAGTTGATTAGAAAAAGGAGAATAAATTATAGCAAGTCTATTCTTCCATTTTATAGGTGAGGTTCTCAGGCAGCACTTGTCCTCTTTTGATACTTTCTCAAGCTATAGGATATATAGGATATATAGGATATATAGGATTTGCCACTTTTTGAGGTCTCTTTAGCCGCACAGTTTTTTCCTCTTCCAGAACTCTCTTGCATAAGAATCAACAGATTAAATAAGGGGGAAAAACAGGTTGTAATCGGTACAAGAGGACATCATTGTACAGGGCAACATACTTTGGTGGCAGTTGTTGTTCTCTTCCTTTGAGTCACAAGTACTGCAAAATGGTGGATTCTTCCTTGGGTTGTGAAAAAATGCCACGAAGATACATCAGCATAATTACAGAGCATAACCTCACTCTATGTAAAGGTTAGCGAGTACAGAAATGTTGTCTACCTTCAAAGGAACAATTCAAAGTGTTGTACTTGGTTACAGTAACTACATCTAAGTGGTAGTAGGGGTCTTAGATGTATCACATAGAAAATTTAATGTGATCTTAAAGCTGTCAGAAGACTCTGCAAGATAAAAGGCCTTATGCTTCTTTATTCTCAAAACTGTGCATTCCACAGAGAAGATTTTGATCAGTTTTTAAATACTATCTTCCTGCTTTATCACAGGCCAATGTGCACATTTATTTGACAGACACAACCCCTTCCCTCCCAGACTTAACCCCTCAGTTTGTCACTGTAAAGTAACTATTTAGTTCTAGTTAAGGTTTAAGAATTAAGTGCACAGAGAAAACGGAAATCTTGAATGAGAATGAGGCCAAAGAAAATTATGTATTCTCTTGGGGATATCTTTCTGTTGTGGCTGAGCAAAATCTAATGGAGGAAGGCAACAGCAGGTTACTTGTATCCTAAATCAAATATTAAATGTGAATCTTTACCATTATGAGTAAGACTGTTATTTTTAGCATCTGCAGCCTAAATCCCAAATGGCGAGCTAAGAGCAATATTTTGACCTCACTGATATTTACTCTAAAGAGCATCTAGGCAACAAGTTTCTGAGGCCAAATGTCTGATCTTGTTAAGCAGGCTGGTGCTGCATGGCTGGTCTGTGCTTTGGGGTGATTTTTTGCAAGTGCTTCTTTTGGAAGGTTTGCCATGCTTTATGACTTGTGCAGCACATGCAGTAGATGGCATGTCTCTTTTCCACCCCTGAATATTAAACTAAGAGATCTTTCTCTTCTGGGTGAGATCGTGAGGCCAAGATGTTATTTCCAGGCTGCTTTTACTGACGTGTATATGCTGCACTCAACTTTTTCCAGTCTCTCACTGTGGACTGCCAGGAGAATAATTCTACACTGGACGTTGTTTTGCATGCCAGTGTGTAAGTATTTTTATAACTTTGATTTCAATGGTGTTTTTAATGAAAATTATTTTTAATCCTAATACCATGGATCATACTTTCATTTTTTAAATTAATATCAGTGCCTGCAACTGGAAGTCAAACACTTCTACGCTAGTTTTTTTTTTAAACTTGATGTCCATACTGAAGTATTCACAAGTATGCAGTTTTATATTGAAGTGCAAAAACCACCTGTAAATACCAAACTTCTCCATATGATCACACATCAGTCAAGAACCTTGATTTATATTTGCAGCATTTCTCTCATAAATATGCTATCCATATGGCTGTTCTTCATAAAACACACATTTCAATAGAGTTCTGAGTAGCTTTTTACAAGCTCCTTAATGGTAGGTCATTACTGTTTTATAATGCTGCAAAATACTTTTTAAAACCTGGCTTAAAATTTTTGTGCTTAAAGTCAACCTTGTTCTCTCTGTTCATATTAATTCTGCCTCTCATGTATGTTCTAAGGTTCAAGAATACATATTTATAATATTTTTGATAAAAACCTGGGATGAAGAAAAATGCACCAAAAAATTGTATTTCATAATTACCCATGTAGTTCATACCCATGTCATGATGTGTCAACAAACAGTTTTTATTCTTCCTGTCTTTGCTCATTCCTTTGTCCCATTGTTAACAATCTTGCACATTTTCAGTACATCAGGTTTACTCTGAGGGATATACATCGAGAAATACTTTGTAATAGCAACTACAGGAAACTGTCTAATGTTTCAGTCTTCCCATTTATGTGAGCAAATATTAATGTAAAGATTTCTCATAAGGTAGACTTGTTACAAATTGCACAGGGAACATCCTCCAAGTTGTAAATATTTTACTTTAAATATGTCTCTTTTTTTGCTGGGAACACACAAATTCAGTGTTGTTGTTCTGTTAATAGTATTTTTTTTTGTCTTTAAGTGAAAAGCACATAATACTTTCTACTCTACAACAAACCTAAGATGAAAAGACTCCCCTCCCTTCATTTCAGTATTTGACAAATGGGAAAGACTCTGATATCATTTATGTAAATTCTAGCTTCCTCTTATTGCTACATTACTGTTAAAATCCAATTTTTATAGTTACAGCTTTACAAGTACTAAGACTGTCATGCTTCACAGCAAAGATGGCGTCAAGTGGCATTTGCTTTATATTGATCTGGTGTTGCATTACCTGCTGTTTCAAAACAACTTGCCTCCTATGCTTTTAGAGGTTCATCAGGATCTGTGAGCAGGAGAGTGCAGCACATGTTGGAAAAGCTCTATTTTCAGCTGAGATTTTTTGGCTTTGTTTTTAGTAGCATGGATAATACTTAGGTACAATTACTACAAATAGTAAACAACCTCCAGTAACATTGCATTCTTTTTGTACACTGTAAAGTGCCTAATCATGGGTGATTCTGCTAGCCCTCGAAATGCCGTTTGCTGTGAAATTATTGTTTCCATACAGTTTTTTGGCATATGTAATGTCCATGTGTGGTTTTGAGTTATTACACATTGGAGGCAAAGAAGATTTTGAAGAAATATTATCCATTCCTGTTACTTAAATGGTAATCTAACAGCTTTGTCCATACCTAACTGGTAATTTAACACCTGTGCATTGTGTTTCTGGTTTTATATTGAGAGAGGATTTACAAGATTCTGAAAGGTTGACTTACCAAGTTTTGTAGTGACACCCTGGGTGTTAATTATACCCCAGTTGTGCAGGCACATGGGTGACTTCCTCCAGGTAAGTTCTGCTTGAGCTCAGAAAGGTAACTCTGAAGTTCACAGAGTCCGTGTGGATTCAGAGCACAAAGAGTACCAAGTGTAGTGTGGCTGACTGACACCAAGCAAATCAGCTCCAGAAAGTTACACCTCATACTCTTTTGTAGAAGGCTGTTAGGGTACTGAAGACGGAAACCACCCTTACCTTTCAATTGCTTCTCCACCTCCAAGAGTGCAAGAGCTGAAGGTGGAACCTGCCTGCTCTGGTTCAGCAGGGAAATTAAACAAGTGAGGAAACATCAGGTGCCTGCTCCTGAGTTAATTATGCATTCTAAATATGAAGTGCTTCTAAGTTGAGATGGTGTTGCCGATTCAAATCTACCAAAGGAAGCCTTTTTCCAAGAGAGGCTTAAAACAGCATGTTGAGCTTTTAGCTCTAAAATCTGGCTGTAGCAATCCACTGTATGTAGTACACTGTTGGGGAAAACTTGCTCTAGTAAGCTTGCTAAACATTTCCTTACACTATTTATAAGAAATCATTACTTTTTTTACTGTAGAGCATTTAAGAAGCTGGTTTTGTCTTGCTCAGGCAGCATTTTATATAAATGTGAAAATAGTAAGGATTGGTTTATCATCTAAATGCCTAAATCCCTTTAACAACAGTCAGTTTTGCAAAGTTGAAGCAAGGTTATACTTTCTTACTCCCTATTCATTGTGCTGAAATGTTATAGTTTAACTTTGCTTTTATAATGCACACATTATTAAAATTAATTTTATATCTATTAGTTGTTAATGGTAATACCACAGCAAATCTACGAGAAACTGTGATATCTGCTGTATATCGACTGGCCCCATCAACTTGCTTGCCTTTGTAAAGCATTGATCCATGTTGGACATTTAATGTCTACTGCAGTGATGCTCATATAGTATTTTAGTATCCCTACATGTACTCTGCATGTCTTGCACTTGTGCACTGTAAAAAACTGTTTTACAGTACTTTAGGTTGAAAAAAACCCTTCCATTATTTTATATAGTATTTCCCATATCCAAAATAGGACAATTTCCAAAGCCAAAGATCAATAAATGTTTATTGTCTATCAGTGTGATTTTTTTTCCTATTTTGTGTGATATATGCCATTTTTTATCAACTTTCGCAAAATCTCCAAAGAGCATGTGATAACCAGGCTTTTTATCAGTTTCTCTAC